TATATTCAAACTAATATATTGTTAGATTAAATGGACACGTAAGGGGTATGAGGGATAGACATGTTTGATTTCACTAGTGAGCATACCTACAGCTGCCAATTGTCTGCTATTCGGGAGCCATACAATTTGATTATGCCACGAAAACCCGCTTTCTACGAAACACGGATGTTTCAAGGATACAAATATGACAAAATTCACAATACCGAAATATGTTTATGAATATGCATACATTCCATAAGTACATATTACCTCAGAAATCCAAATTATTATCTTTGAAAATAATGAATTCGCCTGGATAAAATATATACCACATAATTGAGTCAGATTAACATGAAAAACAAAACTGAGTGTAAAATAACATACGAACAGAAAATATCGTATCTTGTGCCCCTACATTGATTAGAGTAGATCCCCACATTGAACCCAAATGCACACATCACACACACACACCAGAATTTCTTACAAATGAGCGGAATCATTGTCCTACAGGATTGAACAGGTAAAACAAAACACAGATCACTCTTAAATGTTCACGATCGTTTAAACATAGCACAGCATTTTATTTAAGTGCTTATTGCCGTATAAGAAAACAAACACATCTACTGTGTTTTATCTAGTAGCTATCAAATTTAAATAAACGAAGTGCGATCCAGTGTTTTATTAACCATTCAATGCTTACCCAAGTTACTTGATCCGTAAAAAATGTATACTTTTCTATCTTCGTTTTTCTCACTACAGCTGCGGTTAAAAGAAGCACGTGCTTTATTTTGAGACAGCAATGAAACATCTTCGCATACAAATGTTAAATAAATAAAAAATTACTTTTAATGTTTATTTTTATGTCGAGGTCCATTTCACATCCATGACGGAGCCACATACATTTACAAACCCAAAATCAAAAATGAATTCGGTTTAGAATACTGTTTTGGATATAATGACAAATGTTCTATAAGCAATTCGTCACAATTTAAGGTGTAATTTTATTAATTGGCATTCCCAGCTAGTGAATACCACGTCAGAAATCGTGAAAATATTATTATCATGCAAATTGCGAATATTTCCGATAGGAATTATTGGACATTTTAGTTTCGAATTTTCATAAAAGAAATGCCATTGCAGAATTCTGGCCTGCTTGGCAAATTTGTGTGACTGAGTCATGGATGTGGCATGGAACAATTAATAAAATCTTGTATATGACATTTGTGTGCGAAGATGTTTCATTGTTTTCTAATAACAAAGCGTGTTATATATATGAGCTGTAACTGCTGAAAGAAAACGCGATATTAAAAGGAGTTAACATATTTAACGGAGCAGGTAAAGCAGATCAGAATATTGGTAAACACATTGGATGTTTAATAAAATTCAGGACTTCCCTTCGTTCTTCTGAATTCAGCAGCTACCAAATAAAGCTTTTTAAGATGTCTGCGCATCTTAAACGGCAACAATCAATGTACTAAAGTACAGTTAAACTTTTAAATCGACTGGTCATCAACAGAGCGTGATGCATGTTTTGTTTTATCTTTTCAAACCTGTAGGACACAGATTGCCCTCATTTATGAGGAATTGTGGTGCGTGTAAAGAATGCGTCTGTTTGCATTTAAGGTGGGGATCTATTCAAATCGAAGTGAAAGCGTACGTTATTATTTTAATTATCAAGATTGTATGTTTTTTTAATTTAGTGTCATGTTTTCTGCCTTTTTGACTCACTCTCGTGAAAAATGTTTTGGCTAGAAAAATTCAATATTTTCAAAGAAAACAAATTGGATTCCTGAGGTAATATGCACTTATGAAATATAATCAGATTCATTGGAGTATTCCGGTATTGTGAGTTTTGTCATTGTTGTGTCATTCAGTTATCAGTGTTTCGAAAATAACTCGACTTAGTGGCTTGGTTATAGTGAATGGCGACCTGCAGGCCTCCCGAATAGCAGACAATTGGCAGCTGTAGGTATGTTCACTAGTGAAATCAAACATGTCTATCCCTCATACCCCTTACGTGTCCATTTAATCTAACAATATATTAGTTTGAATATATCGTGTGTGCGTCATTTTAAAAGATATCAGAATTGGTGTCGCTTTTCGGTGTAGTAAGAAAGAATGCAAATCCTGATTGACTAGCAAAATAGGCTTTGTCGGAAGCATTTCTAGGTTTCTTGCTTGCACTTTTGATTCACATGACTTTGCTTCGTTTGGTTTGGTTGAAAAGGAATTGCCTCAAATGAGTTGTCGAACCATGGGATTGACATTTTACTCTCGCTGATATTGAGGTAATTATGTTTAAGGAAGATAATCTCGCTGACGTTTTATTCTCTGTAATGAATGGAAACACGTTAATGGGACTGAAACGTAAGTGATAACCCCTAATTACCCGCACTGTTTAAGCTCATTGTAGAAATGTGCTTGCGGTTACATGAACTGAAAAACGCGTGAAGATTATAGTAGGTAAGCGATGCACTCAGTTTGCTAGAAGCCTAATATGTTTTATTTCTTTTGCTCATCTGCAATTGTGTTGTATTTCGTTTCCTATTATACCCACCCCTGTACTTCATCATCATCAACAACAACAATAACAACAGTGAACGTGACGACGGCCCTCTTTATGGCCACATACACTTGATTGTTGCATTGGCCTGTGGGTGTTTTGTCACACTGGTGTATCTCTTTTCTGGTGTGGTTTTGGTGTTGGCGTTAGTAGTTCACCACTTAGTAGGATGAGGCTGGTAAAAGGAAGTGCGCGGTGGTGGAGGGAGGCAGGTGTGCATGAACTCATGTAAGGTAAATGTCTGAGAGGTTGGGTGTTTACAACGATGCAACGATGACGACGACGACGAAGAAGAGGAAGAAGAAGACGCAGTTAGGATCGGTGGGAAAGTGCACGGAGCGAGCACAAGAGCAGTGCAATACCCATGACAAGTCTGGATTCACGAGGAAGCAAGTCCACTGTCTGTGTCGGGTCCCGTGCTCCGCCGTCGCCGCCTCCTCAGTCTTTTCGTTTTACTTGTTGTTGCGTTTGTGATGGAGGGCAAAAATTGGCAGAAATGCAGACATACTCGCAGTAGAGGAAACACAAGGAGTTATCCCGATCATCGTCGCCGCCGAGCGGTGATATTTCGTTATACTTTACAATATTAAATGTAAGGACAAGTTGAAGAATTCCAAACTAAAAAGCTCAACAAGCATATTTAGCTCTTTCAATAAAATGAGATGTACACTTAGTATGTGGTTGCTTGCATTCTGTGGCATTTACCTTCCCTCCAATGCCTCTTTGTAATTCAATTTTTGCGCTTACGGAGCGATTTTTTCTGTTGTCAACCGGGATTGTATAAGAAATAGGCCATGTTTTCAGTACCATCTGCATAGTATTTACATATCAATGCATATAACGACGAAAGAGGATAGATTTTTTTCACATGCAATCAGTTACAAGGGCACCATCCCCTCAGATTTCATGCACAACACAAGATACCTGAAAGGCGTACATTGTTCTCACCTAAATCCAAGGCTCGCCATTTACTTGTTGATGTTCACTCGCAACGCTTTCGTACTCCCCATGAATTCCAAGATCGACGCCCAAAGGCTAAAGCCACACACACCGAACCATTCGACGAAACAGGACAACTACACAACACTGTTTTGGGGCATCGAGGGGACGTGTGCGTGACCACTCAGGGTCAGCCAAAACCCAATTTCCGTTTTGACTCATCTAACTGGCACCCACACCCTGTTTGCCTAGCTAGACCCACACAATCAGAAGCAAAACTGGTACCAATGCACACTTCACGAATGTGACGAATAGAGGTCACGCGCGAGGCAAATGTCGACGACACCCGCATGTGACTAGTACATCAACTCACGAATCAAATAGAAACGTACGGGAACAACTATGTGGATGTGATGAAGCAGAATAAAGCTCAGTTGTAATTACTGCAATAGACTTTCCTTAGCCACAAGCCAAGCAGGCTTCACCCGGTATAATAAGATATAGTAGCATTGCATAAATTTCTCCTGGAAAAGTACAAGGGGCAAATGTACTCAGAGAAAACAAGATTCTGGTAAATATTAACAAGTGATCATAGAGCACACGCATAGAATGCAACGAATTGAATAGTTTTCGTTAGTGAGCATTTGGTATGCAGGATGATGCGGTTTAGTTCTGGTCATCCTCAGCCTTGTTGCCATGAGCCCGGAGACGGTAGATGCAGGTGTATGCCGGGTGGCCGTGGTTACTGTTGACCGTGGGCTCAATAAACCGTGCAGGTTGGCCTTCCGGACGAGGCTGCATTAGAGGTGGAATGGAATAGACTCTCAAACATACAATTTGAGCAAATCGACATAAAAATCGTGGGAAAACTGAAAAGTTGATGCCAAGAGACCCCTTGATGCGAAATGCAAATAATTTGAAACATAAACGCAGTCTTTACGATGGACAGTCAAATTAGGTGAGCAAAACGCTAGTGCAGTTTCACTCAAATAAATTGAAAATGTTAATTAATGGTGAAATCAACCGAGAATTATATTAACAATAAAAACAAATTGGAATCGCATGCTATAAACCTTTTAGCAACAAAGTATTAGGCATGTTGTGTCAATATGAAATACAGGCAGGTATCCTGCCATTAAGAAAGTCGGCTTTCTTAATCACAAAATGAGTTTTTATTAGCCTATAGCTGAATTCCATAAAGATGAGTTTTTTTATAATAGATTGGCGAGACAAGCACATGGAAAGGCAGGTCGGCTGCTTCTGCTTTAGTTCGAAAGCCGTCTTGAAGCTCTCAATTTCTTCCTGCATTAGAGAATCTCTCGCAGACTGTGGAAAAAAAAGATTTTAAAACAGTCTGATAGGAGCATGCGTAAGTGTCCGCGTTAGACATGCAATGCTGCCGTTCGTCAGAGACGGCACGAGGTCTTGTCTCTGTGTTGCGCTTGGAAGGTTGGTTTTGTTCACACAACTGATTAAAGTGTTAGGACCTTATTCCCAAAAAGGAAACCGAATGAACCGGCTGATAAAGCCCTCAAAAAGCCGATGGCAAAGACTGTGTGAATCATACAACAGGGGCTAATTAAATGTTGCAGAGAAGACCGCATGGCACGTCAGTTAATGGCTGTGACACCCATAACGTACTACTATTCATTTGCTCAATAGAACATCATCACGCAGGATACTAAGCAGACTTTGAGTGAGATTTTCGATAACTGAAAGACTGTCCTACCGAAGTCTGCACGGTGGTGAAAAGGTGTCAGGCTTTTAACTCGCCTAACGAGGACACTGCTGGGTAGGCCATCATTTTATAACGGCTGCGTAAAGCAACTGGTATAGTTCAGTGTCTCACAAATTTGGAAGGAAACTAGTCGATGGAAACAACTTCCACTACATTACCAGTAAAAACAAAAGCAACTTGCCTCCAACGACTGGTCTGTTTGTTGTGGTTGGATTGAACTAACAGATCGAGGTCGATGCCACTGGCTCACTGCGGCAGAACTAAAACGACATGCGGCTGGAGACGGAGGCACGGGACGGTTCGTCACAGAGGGGGTGGACGAAAACTGGGAGGTAAACTGGAAGCGGGTCAGGGAAATGGGGAAATCGACTTCGGGAGGGGAAGAAATTCGGACCTGTAACAGGAAAAAAAGGGAGGCTTTATCAAATAGTGACCTACCGATGGACTGACTGACATACTTATCACATTCCCAGAAATAAAAGTCTTATTTGAGCTTGGAGTGTCCAATATTTCAGCAAAGGAAAACGCCGTTAAAGCACAACCAAAAGGGAGCGCCGGTAGATTGAGTCATTGAACAAATTTTGAACAGATATGGTGATTGATCCACCACTGTCGAAGCCAAAGCACCCAGAAAATGTGGCAAATGACCAATGCAAGTCTAAGGCCAAGACGATTAGCGAGTTTACACGGGTACGTACATGGACCACTCAATTGAAAACCAACTCACGCATTCATCGCTGAAGTAATGGGGGGAATAGACCGCTTGAATAGATCGTGTCCAACGACCTCGAAAGGGCTTCACAAAGTGGTGAGACAGACGACCAAAATCAAAAAATTGAGGCACACTATTGCCGTAGTAGACTGGTACGAATTCAATCAGTAACTGTCTCGGATTCATGATAGACAAATGTAGCATTAAAAAATACATGTTATTTAAAAAACACTCAAGTCACGGAGGTAATAGAGTCAGTGCAATTTTGATTATCATGGCATTAGAGTTAATACAGAAATACAATTGGGATCGGTGGCGGTAGTACCATAAATTCAAGGACGACGGTCTTAAAAAATGATATTAAATCATTGTTGGACCTGTCAAAATTACAGCCTGAACAGAATGTAACATTATCATCAACATGTTACCATGACATCACTTTGTCACTTGACATCGCGAGAGTTTTGGAGAAGGCTAAGGGGCGTTTAAATGACTGTTTTCACAGTTATTTAAATTTCGTGATGACCACTTCATGACAAGCTCTGCAAAGCACGTTTGATTGAATTAAGCATAAACGACATTATTGCTAAGAAATTCGGCTTCTTTTGTCATTGGCAAATGGACTGGCACGTTGTACCACAACTACATAACTATGCAAGACAAATAGTATGAAACCCAAGAACGGAAAAGTGTGGAAACACATGCATAAGCCTACATAGTAGACATAGAAAAGGTGCCTCGGTTTTTGAATAAAAGACAAGTTGTTCAAACTCACAGAGACATCGAACATTTCTAGTGGTGCTTGCGGCGGTGTTTTGGCCAAAGTCTCTGAAGGAGGGCTTTCTTTTATTTCTAACGAGATCCCACGCAGTTCATCGCACCTCGATTGGCGAGCATCCACCTTCGCCTATACATTCGTTACAGAATAAAATGCTATAAATTTCAGTCATGGGAATGATTGAAGCCAATTTATGGTACTGCCCTGGTTGAGCCAGCATGGAATGACACCGTGCAGACACAGGCTATTAAAGTAGCGCAGTACTAGGCAGCTGAAAGGGTAAAAGCTGCAAACTTAACACTTCACTCAGTCAACATGAATCAAAGAGATTTAGACATTCTTAGGAAAACGCCCTGAAAATCCTCCAATGTAGGCATGAAAACAACCGAGAAGACGCCACCCTGTCAGGACTGTCATTTTCTTTCATTAGCACATCAACAAGTTATCTTGGCACTGAACGACAATTCATGCATTTGATGAAAATGTTTTTACGTGTCGAAAGGGAAAAAGGGAACGATGGGATCACGACGCCACTCATTTCTTGTGACTATGACATGACGCGAAGTACCCATGCAGTCTTGTCTGACGAAAAACAATACAACATTGTACATTATATTTTTTTGAAAAAAAGAAAAATCAGTCGAATTACCGCGAGATCAAGTTCCAGGGATTCGAACCGAACTTCAAGTTCAGAAACAAGGGCAGCATTCTGAGTTCTCATTTCTAGACATGCAAATAAGCGCTTATTGCAAGTGATGATTAGGCAAACAAATTTAATAAAAGAGACATTCCCACCACGTCAAGGCGAACATATGCGGGTGTTCCCCAGAACACTTAACCACAGACATTTAAAAGACAATTTACGACAGCATGTTCACTTTTGTGCAAACGCAGAGTGTTCTGCATCCAAGACATCAATACGCGGACATTTCTTTTTGATTAGACGTCACTGGCAACCAGAGGTCCAGGTTCGCCAAGTCTTTGTGATGCGAAGGGGGCGCCATGGAAAAGTAGTCATGGCATGAGCGTACGATGCGTCACTTTGTGGCGGACAGTGCACACTAATCGTGATTCGTGGAACCCACAACACCTCTGATCCCGATTGGCACGCTAGAAACAGGCACTCAAGGACACTGCATTGTCACCTCATAATACCTACCGCACTAGCGACAAAGTGCGAATGTTAGCATGTTAATACGCAAACATCAGATGAATTACTGCCTATTTAAGGCGAAATCGTGAACATAAAACCTAAAATAGGTAGGTGACGTGAGAATACCTCTCTGGCACCACAGAGTTGGAGCAAGAACTGTGACGTACCCTCGAGTTGGTTCGCATTGTCAACTTGTTTTTGGTCCAATTCCTTCGCAGACCTCTGCTGAGACATCGCACCAGTAGGCTTGGAAAGCTTCCGTGATTGCTGGCCACTTTCTAAGGCACGATGGGAACCATCGCCTTCACGGATTTCGACTGTGTGTTCTACATGTGAAAAATAGGGCCTGGGATTATTGATGCAGGATGTAGAGAGGGTAAGTTGAAAACAGGTAAACTTCTTCCGAGAACACATCACACCGATCCCAAGTACCGCAAACAACTCATCGTCAGGTAAACCAAGAGTCAAGAGCGCGGCCTGTACTAACATGAGGTTATTTTTATTGTTCGTTATGCCTTTCACCTATGACTGCTATTAAGATAACAAAAGCACCTCCTCACACACACACACACACACTCAAACTCAAGCACGGTTCCAAGTAACGAGGAATAGACCGTGTTTTCTGCACCATCCACTTCGGTCCAACGTCATGAACTCCAGGGTGACAAATTGCAGCATACAGAAATCACAGAGGTGAGTAGCTGAGTCATTGATGGCCAAGGAAAAGTAATATAGTTATAAGTGTTGTATTGCGTCACCAACGGCTCTCGTTTATTCGGAGCTACGGTTTATCAAAAACTACTACCATTTTGGGAATTAACGGCCCTTCAAATGACTTGACATAGAAATTGAATATTCGTCAAAATAACCTGATTGCCTCTTAAAATGTTTTTAACGAACCCCGCCACGGGGAAAGGAAACTTATTGAAGGTGCTTGACACGCGAATACTTTTTGGGAAACATCAGATAACGTGAACCATTACGTAATTTACTCCTCAAGAAAATTCGCTTTCCCTCTACTCGGGTTCACACAACGGCCGTTAAACAGGATGATGTTTGTGAAATGCCGCACATCAGTGTTTTCTTGGCAACAGCAAACCGTCGTTCCGTCGCTACAAGAGAAATACGTAATTGTCACGTTGACCCAGTAAAAATGACGTTGACCTATACCAAAATACGACGTGGTAAAAAAAATGGCCCGTAGATTTCGATTTGCCAAAGAACAGGTCTGATATGTTACTTCAGTTATAGATTGGATGGTTCCTATTTCTAGGAACGTTACTTCAATCTAATGGTTATAATAAAAACATACCTTTCGTTGACTGAGTACTCGGGGTGCCTGAAGTTGAGGCGGTGCTTCGCGTCCTGATGGAATTCCTTATTCCTGTAGACATGGCTGTAGGTGTTCGTGGTGTATTGATTGTTCCATGTCCAGAATTTACCTAATTTAGAAAAGGTGAAAAGGAAAGCCAATTGATTGGATGTGGAAATCGAACCTACACTGGGACCAACGATCTACGCAGGCACAGCACTAGGAAATAGAAAGGAGGCCAAAGTTAACAGACCTGCCAGTCATTCAACTAATACCGCTTGCAGTTGTCATGTGACAAAGTGTAGGTGTATATACGTTTGCTGCATACGGCTTGGTTAATGAAAGACACGTAAGGAGTTAAAAATAAACCGAATGGACGAACACACGGATATTGGGAACTCCCTTGATCACATACCAAGGAGGCTTTCCGATAGCTAACAGGATACATGATTCGCAATTTGCCATAAAATTGGTTAACACCACAAAAAATCAATCCGAAGTCGCGGAATCTAAAGGAAATTTTTGAAGCTAATTAATGCACAGTGAAAGAGCATTTAGGAGTAAATTGACCGAGCTGAAATAGGTGACCAGTGCTCAAGATGGCATTACGGTTCAGACATTTAAGTCGTATTGAGACAAAAAACAAAACGCGTTATGATTACAATGAACTTCATAACATACAGGTTAATCAACAAGGTATGTGATTATTTTATGCTACTGAAAGTCACCTCAATTCACTTACAACTTTACTGGCTGTAGGACTCCGAGATTTGAGAGCCGACGATTTTGTTGGAGTAGGAACGAAGCTCGCCAATCGCGATGCGATGAACTGTGTAGGATCTCGTTGGAAGTAAAAGAAAGCCTTTCTTCAGGGACTTTGGGCGAAACACCTCTGCAAGCACCCCTGGAAATGTCCAATGTATCTCTGAGTTAGAACAACTTGTCTTTTATTCATTTAAATGCCCCTTAGCTTTCTCGTAAACTCTCGCGAAGTCAAGTGACAAAGTGATGACGTGTTCCTTGTCTGGCTTGGTTCAGTCGAAATCGAAACGTCGAGATCTATTACTCGTATTTGTGAAAAAAACTTTAAATTAATTATTTTGATCTCAGCTGTTTCGTAAAGCTAGATAAGTTGCATTTTTTTAATACTGACTCCAAATCACTGCCACATCGAATAAGAAAAAAAGGCGTTGATCGAAACACTAAATATGTGGAATCAAAAAACAAAGTTGTACATGAAAGATCGAAATTTTTTAACTTACCCTTCTTTTCCTGACGAATGGACTTCTGAGTTGACTCTAACGCGTTACTTCTTTTGATAGGTAACTTCATGATTTTGCTTTAATGGCGTTTTCCTGTACTGAAATATTGGTTACTCTAAGCCCAAATAAGACTTTTACTTCTGGAAATCGGATTAACATGTCAGTCAGTCCATCGGTAGGTCACTATTTGAAAAAGCCTCTCTTTTTCCCTGTGACAGGTTCAAATTCCCCCTTCTCCCGAAGACGTTTTCGATGTGTCGAAAGGTCTCACATTTGACGACATCCCCAGTGAGCCAGTGGCATCAACCTCGGTCCATTAATTTAATCCAACCACAACCACATCAACCTCGAAGGAAGGCGTCCAAAATGCAAATGGCGCGTAGCTCAACCAATTTATTGATGAGTTAACAGCGTGCGTGCGTGTGTGTGTGCAGGATAGCAAATGCGTTTGCATGGCTTCGCTAAATATCGATCTCTGCACGCACGCAGTTGAGTGAAGTGCATTCACGAAAAAAAATCTTTTGAATTGTGTTCGCTCACGCTTGCTAACTGCGGTCGCGCACGACTACTTGCTGCTCGCCACAGTTCAACCAAACCGGAAATTATTTGGATTATTGCCCTGTTAAAGATTTCTGCCTTTATAAATGTCAATAACGCACTAGATTCATGCCTTTCCTTAAGCATTGCACCTGATTATCACCGAAAATTCCCCCATTCACACTATGTGAGCAATTTTTTGCCTATAGACAAGGTGAGCGAAGTTAGCATGTTGATATTTTTCGAATCACTGGTGATCTTTTTAGCACTGATAACAACGGCAGATATTCGAAAGCCGTTATTTTTTGAAGGCCGTCGTCAACTCCGGTGACATAAAACAGTCCGGGATGAAGATCAGGAAAGCAGAAGACAGAAGACGAAGCATTGATAGTCGTTGTGTGGGTTAGAAGAGTTGGTTGCACTATGGACTGGCGTGCAGATGTCAGACGTGAACAGACAAATCCAATGGTGAGGTGTTCGTTCAGAAAATCACTGATCCGGAAGAGTACTGAACGAAAAAACCAAAATTATCGCGGGTGTCAAGACAGCTGTTAAAAGGGTGCCACCGCCTCAAGCATGCAGTTGATTGACGCTGGCTGGTTCCATCAGAATAAAACACACTGCTCACTTCTAGACACAAAGAATCGGCGGATTTTGCCTTCAGCATCTTGGACTAGATTTGTGTTCTTCGCAATCTCAATGTAAATATTGGCAACAACAGGGTTTTTTTATCAAAAGAGCTGGTGTTAGCTTTGCGTGCATAATTCTTTTTGTGTCGATAACAGATGCTCAATATAATTTAAATGGCTACAAATACACGATTGCGTCTGTTTTGGTAAATCTGTAACTTGCAAAATCAAATTTGGTATTTCTGATTACTTTGCAAATTTATCACTATGCGTAGAGCAAAGATTGTATAGGACACGTCATTAATTAACAACGATATCAGATTACTTCTGGAACATGTATTGTTGATTGCAACTGAATGGCCAAACTATGTCATGTTACGGTTATTGTCTAACTTTATGTCGTAGCAAAAAAACATTTAATTTTTTTAAAAATGAATTGTTTTCCATGCAACTCACTAAAACAACATCTTTAAAAGCTGTAGAGTAGATATTTTGTGTCGATAGGCAACTGAATACCTGCCCAGTTTTTATTTCATAAGAGTTGTGTAATCGACGACCTACCAGGAAACACGTTTTGGGGTACGAGGACACAGAAACCGCACACAGACGCAGACACACAGACCAGTCTTACGGAATACTATAACTTGGGGACTAACGTAGTTATGCTTAGCCAACAAGAACGAGTCTGACAGGGTTGAAATCGCTGTCCAGTGGTGTTGCTCTTTGTTGACAAAGTTGCCGCAATTTTGCCTATTCAGCATACTTTTCACACAGATATGATTGTGATTGGTTGTCCTTACCACTAGCTTTCGTTAGGCCTTTCTCATCTTATCGTTGACCGTGTAACATCGACACAACTCACTATTGGTGCTTCGTTCACTCAGTTAAACCAATGATAGAATTGCCCAAATTTTGTCACAGCCAATGTACATTTGGGCAAAGTTGGAAATAAGTTTTATCAGGCTAGATATCCATAGTTAGGAGTAGATTTAAGGTATATCATCTCTTCCGTCTTATACCTAAGTATGAATCCCTAAACTCTCAAAAATTAAATCTCTACCGAGGCAAAGGCTAGCATTAGCTCAGGAAGACGTTCAAACTCGAAATCATACCCAACAGTGCATGTAATTGCTAATTTGTTGCGTAAGTTGACTCTATGCATGCGATAACAGCACAGAGGAAGTTAAAATGCTAGCTTGTGCAAAAGTAGCTTAGTCAAATCTAGTAAAAAAAGAGTTCCACTGATTAATTTGGTTCCGGTATTTAAAAAAAGCTGTTATTTTTTTGCAATTGTTAACCTTGATTGCTTTGTAATTGCGTCTTCGAATCTGCATGTACATGCAATTGCAAATTTAGATGAAGAGATAAAATTGAAATCTTTTAAAAATTAGTAAACATTCAAAGGCGCTTTTAGTATCGAAGTTCAAAAAGGCCGTGTCCAGCGGTTGTCTGATGCTTGAGTCCTCAAGCCTTCTCGTGAATGCACATAAAGACCACTGAATAAATCAGAAAGGCTAGCTCTATTTCAGACTGTAAATAATAATCTCAAAAATACGATGCCAAACACATATTGAAGCTGCCCATTTTTTAAAACAGGTCATTTGAAAATGAGGAGATGAGGATGGTGAAGTGAGTCGTGTGAAAGCACTTGTTGTGACTCGCGAAAATCCCTTAAGGTACAAATGAGTGTCCCTGCTTACTGCAGGTTATCTTAAAGTCCATTTGACATTTTGGAGCATTTCGTTTCCTGTCAAATTTTTATTTTTGTTTGTTTGTAAATTTACCTGCTTCTTGCAACTTTTAAGTATTCTAGCAAAATGAGTGCATTGCTTACTTCCTATAATCCATAGATGTTCTACAGTTCGTGTAAGCGCAAGAACATCTTGCAATGAGCTTATGCCTGGCGGGTTATTAGTGGCCATCACTAAATATTTGGTCACATTAATACGTTCCAATTCATTACACAGAATAGAACATCATCAAGATTACCTTTTTAAGCATAACTTCCTTATTATCAGCGAGAATAAAATTTCAAACCCATGGCATCAAAACACATTCCGTTTAAACTAAGCCATAGGGAGCACGGCCATGTGAATCAAAAGCGCAAGGATAAGAACTAAAAATGCCTTCTACGAGGCCCATTATGCTATATCTAAAAAGGACACAAATTCTGACGTCTTGTAAAATAACGCACATACGATGCATTTGATCTAACTCATTGTTAGAATAAATCGACAAGTATGGAATGCACTGGAGACTTCATCATTGTAAATTGACATTCATTTGGCTTGTTTCACCTTTTAGCCTATCGTAAAACCTGTGAAGGAATTCTAGCTGTTGGCAAAATATGCGTAGCTGACCGAAATATTCGATGCAGAAATCTGCCCAAAGAGACCTAAGCAAAGAATTGGCAGGATCTCTCAGATATGAGTGCACTGGAGACCTCATCATTGTAAGGCTCATTGCTTCACGATCTTAGCCGACAGCCTGGGGTCAGAATTCATTGCTAAGGATTTTCTATCAAATTGACGTGCTTGTTATTTATTTTACGCAAAGATTACGCATTTTTCGTTCGATTGTTGACGGTGTTTTTAAGTGTGATGCCGGGCTTTGCGATCACATAGCACAAAGCCAATGATAAATAGGTCATGCAC